CAAGGAAAACAAGCCAAACCAACCATACCGGATCGGTCGCCAGGATCTGTCACCAGAGAGGTCTAGCTAAGGAAAGTAAAAGAACAAAGCAACCATATCGGATCATACAACCAATCCCTGAGTCGCTGATCTCTCTGATCCGGAAAACATGATCGCTATTATCCACGGTCTCTGATCTCGCTCCGACAGTCGCTGATCTCACTCCGACAGTCGCTGATCCTATAGTTCTTGCTCGCTGATCCGGGAAAATTTGTCGCTGATCCGAGAAAATTGGTCGCTGATCCGGGAAAGTTGGTCGCTGATCCGGGAAAATTGGTTGCTGATCCGGGAAAAGTGGTCGCTGATCCAGCAGTCGATTCAGTCGGTGATCGGACATTTATTCCGTGCATCTCTGGCACTCGCTGCGATCATATTGTAAACCTACCAGGTTACCTCTGAATTCAAAATGTCCACATTGTACAGACACACACGCACAAAACAGATTACGATTACGCCAAAAAGCGCAAGATACCTGTGGGCAGCACCTAAGTGCTTTGTTCTTTTCATTCGATGTAGACCTGATCGGCCAGCGGCACCTTGCAGCCGCATCGGCACCCAACAAGCGCCAACGCCAACACGGCCATACATATCTGGCACCGGCATCCAGCAGCCACACCCTGCAGCGGTACAAGCATCCAAGCTTCAAAGCACACGCTGCCATAGATATGGCAGCGGCATATATCTATGGCAGCGGCACCTGCAGCTGCCCGCACCAGCACCCAGGCTCCAAAGTGCAAACAGGCAACTCTTCCTATACTCGAAGAACCCCAATTACAGGTTCGTACAAAAGTCACAAGAGACAAAATTACTTAAACTGGCTTTTGACTTGAAGGGCTTAGAGATGCGCGCGAAGAAGTTGCTCGAAAGTTGTGGTCAGCCAAATCACAGCTATTCCATTTATCATACAATCCGTTTCTGTGACCTACCAGAAAGGATGGGACACTACCATCTTGAACGAACTCCATAGCCAGAACATCACGCTGCCCAAGAGTCTTGCAGAGCAGCACAGCCAAAGCAAAGGCTGGAAAACTTTCAAGCGCATTCACATGGCAAGCCTTGGCACTGACAAATCCACCTCACCTACCCTTAGGCTTCTTTGAGAATATGGACGTGGCAGTCGGTCAGGACGAGTCTCTGTCTCTCTGTTCCGCCGGTCTGGACTTTTGCAAGAGATTTTTGATTGGTCGCTGTGTGTCATGTGGTAGGGATAAGATCTGTCTGTCCGTCCATCCGTCAGTTCGTTCGTCTGTCTGCAGGAAATCTGTGTGTTCCGTTTCATTTTGCATCTGTGACCATGTCCTGACTCCTCACCAAAAAGGCCAAACATCTCAACACCGAGATTTGGCGCCCTATGGGCCCTGTCCTACTAAAACCTCTCCAAGGCACAAAGCATCTTCTCACCAGAGCGGCCTTCGAGCCAAACTCCTCCGGATTGGTGCTCCGCGGGTCCCGATTGTTGTAGTCCGCGAGCCTGAAGATTCTCGAAAAAACAAAGGAAGAGACACAAAGGGAGGACTCTGAGTTCAACAAAAGCGTTTAGGACAGGCCGCGAGCGTGTCTTACTGGAGTGTCTGTTTGCACAGCGCATCGGGATGCACCCTGCCTCTGTTTGCTCAAGACCACCCCAAGCTTCACAAAGTGCGGCACATAGGCCAAGACCCAAGCTGCTGGCACAGTGGCCAGCGCTGGCAGGAACATGTCCTCACACCAAGTGTGACCCAAATACAGACACCAAGATACTGAAACTGGCGCTCTTTTCATCCTCTCAAGGTGTCCCACTCCCCAGAAGAGTATTTCAGGACCGTCACACCCGAAATATGTTTCCCCAGCTGCAGGCTATAGGGGCTCTAACTTCTCAACGGTGTCACTCTGGATCGGCGTTTTGGTTTTGCGGGCGCTGCTGCCGTGCTGATGCTGGTGCAGGTGCAGGTGCTGGATCGGCGTTTTGGCTTTGCAGGTGCTGCTGCCGTGCTGATGCTGGTGCAGGTGCAGGTGCTGGCTCTGGATCGGCGTTTTGGTTTTGCAGGTGCTGCTGTCTTGCTGATGCTGGTGCTGGATCGGCGTTTTGATTTTGCTGGTGCTGGTGCCGTGCTGGTGCAGGCGCTGGCTCTGGATTGGCTTTGCGTCATGCCAGGGATGACATTGTGTCATGCCCAGAATGACATCATGTCATGCCAGGGAGGACATCATGTCATGCCAGGGCATGTCAGGCCCAGAATGGCATCACGTCAGGGACGACATCATGTCACGCCAGGGATGACATGTTGTCATAGTGTGCATGACACCGTGTTGTGTGTTGTGCAGCAATGATCATCATGTCGTCTGGGCAGTTTTTTATTTGTAAAAGAAATCCAAGACGGTGGCGAGTTCTATCGGTTATTTGCGGGATGTTTTTGCCGTGTTCTGTTGTGAGTTTGGTTTGTGTCTATCTTGTTTGAAGTCCTTGAAACTTGTGGAGCTTGGAGTTCACTTTTCTTTCGACGGGATGCCGCTTCGTGTACAGATTTCGACTTTGCGTGGCCGACCTGACCCGGGCAATGGGACTTCGCTGACCCAGCGGCTCGCTGCCGTGCTCAACATCCGTCACGGGTCCACCACGCGCTTCGTCCAGTCCCACGCCTTCATGACCCGCATGAGGAGCTCCTGTCGATCAATGACGCTCTACGGGTCGATACAAAATGGAAACTGGCTGAACTGTACTCTGGCTAAAAGGAATCATGAAACGTGGCTGTACTTTGAGGAACTGTAAACTGGCTTTCTAAAAGTGGGGCAGCCGCTTTTAGCGCGCGTCTGCAGAAGCAACCCAGAGTTGGTTCAATGATCCCCCTCAAATAGCAAACTACTGTTGATCGAAAGGAAGTAACAAACCATGTTGAGTCTTGAACTGATGCCCATCCAAAAGTTTACACCATTTATGCATTCAGTGGTAAGTTCACACAGCTCACACCTTGACATCGCATCAGCCCTCCCCTGTCCGTCTCTGTGACCCTCAGTGCCTGGACCTGTTGCTGTTGCCGGGAAGGCAACTTTGCCAAGGCTGACATCAGCCATGGGGGAGGCGCCTGGCATTTTTCTGGCCGGCCGATTATTTCAGTCACCAGCTGCTTCAGAAAGCAAAGTGTCACACTTGCAGTTACAGCAGTTCTGAGCCAGAAAAACTACAGTACTTTGTACTGAGAAACAAACATGATTTGCTGTATGTCGGGTTGTGAAGCTTGCAAGCAACTTGCATGCTGTCTTTCCAAAAACAACATTTCATGAAGAGTGCCTCAACCCAAGCTAGAAGAGAGCCGAAAAAACCTGGGACCAGTAAAAAGAGCCACCACATCCATGGGTCTCTCTTGCCGCGCCCACCTGCATGATTGTCAGGGCAAAGAATCTCACTGAGCCAACGCTGCCAGAGAGAAAGGGCAAGCGGCCGATGCAAAGCGATGCAAGGGCAACCCTGATCATACCTGGTTTTCCTGGCTGTAATGTCAGCAGATCGACCTCACAAATCTACAGCCTGCTGGTGCAAGTGATCCTGGAAGAATCCTCTAACTGGCTTTAACAGCTCCATTGATCCGTCGTTTGTGGGGCGCTGCTGGCTGGTAAATTGACTGGAAACAGCAGTGCCTTAACATGCAAACCCCACCCAAACCCTGTGTTAGAAACTGCAACTATACTGTCTAGTAAGTGCAAAAAGTGTGCAAACTGGAATGCATGTAGCGGTTCTTACGAGCAGAATTGGGTTGGTCAATGCCTAAGTCACAATTATCAGCCTTTGGGATTTAGACACAACTCGCACACTCCGCGCCTCCGAGACCGAGACTTGCCGCGAGAGGGCAAAGTTGAAGTTTAAGCCTGGTCAATGTGACAGACAGGTTTGTGCTGTCGACATCGAACAACAGTTTCTAAATCAACTCATATATCATTTGAAGGAATTGTCAATGATCCCCCTACCGAATCATTTCGTCAGGCACTCAGTAGAAATGGGCCTCCAAGGTTTGTCCCAGATTGAACCGTTTTCAAGAACGGCAGCTCTTTCCACGTGTTCTAATAGAAAGCTGCCATGGAGGATGCTCAAATGATATTTGGATAGTCTGTAGTCTGATGATTGTCTGCGTTTTGTTCTTGGACCATGCTGCAAAGGCCCGTCAGGCTGAAAGCTGCCAAACATACTAATGTCCGCACAGGTGGCTGTGCCAAGAATTGGCCTGATTTTAGCTGGATTTAAACTCCAACATGAAAAAACACCTCCCCGTCCTGGACATCTCATGACAATTTGACATTCAGGGTGGAAGCCAGCTCCATTCAACTGGAATATGTGGCTCAAAAAAACAACGGGAAACCTGTTTCCAGGTGGCGAGGCGTTGCAAGGCGGTGCAAGGCAGTGCATTGGGTGAACCGTCCTCCCCCACCACCAGAAAGCGATTTGTGGGTGACATGCCTCAAAGGAGGGACAACGTCTTGTCTTTTTTTGCATGGATTCAGATAAATGTGCCCAGTTCTGGTTCTGAGATAAAACAAAAAGTGAAAGCAAAAAGAAACGAACAGGGACCATTCAAACGTTCATCCATGCAAATCACCAAAGCCGTGGTCTGTGCCTTCTGTTGAAGAGTATTCCGCCACGTCCCCGCCTCCATCCTGGCCTACCCCAGCAGTGGCCTGCTACGAAACTGCAAAACTTTTGAAGAAACACCCAGCTGTTGAACAGGTGTTCTGCTTGTTGCCCATTCTGCAACCAAAAGGCAGAGCACAACAGCCTCCAGCATAGAACGAAAATTCAGAGGGGCACAACAGCCTGTTAGAGACAGAAAATCTTTGAATGCACAGAAAATAGTTCTGGTCGCTTCGTAAGTCCGAAAAGAGCCGTGCTTATATACTTCGGTATCTGACTGCCCACTTAGCCGAAACAAATCTAGGAGAAAAAACAGGAATTATTGTTCCTGTATAACCATGGCAGATGAATGTAGAGCCATGAATGGAACAGCTCGAGGTCGTCATCCCTTCAGAACATCGCCGCTAAGTAGCTTCTTGCTGCACACCATTGAACCGAATGCAGAAGGGTGAGCTATTCTGCATCCTACCTGGAAGCTAACTTAGCCCTTACTTAATTAAGTAGTACAGTAGGCGCCTACTTAATTGTGTAGCAGGGGGGCAAAGCGGGCGTAGAAAAGGGATTCCTCTAGTTCTCGGCCTACAAGCCAAGGGAGAACGTCCCAACTACGGGCTTTTCGTCATCTCTTCGCCCACCTGTGGCCGGATCCGGCACATGTTGTTCACCTCAGGCAGCCACCAGAGAGAAAACTTCGCCTGGGGAACTTCGAAGCGAGCTCTCGTCTCGCACGTGTCTTCGGCTCTGCGTTTCTTGGGGGAGTAAAGTCACTTTGGTGGGGTCCCAGGTCCTACAAGCTCCTCTTTGCAACCAAAGTTGCCCCAAAAGGCAACCTCAGCCAGAAACCTCAATTCTTCCTTCAGTGATCATGGCACTTTTCAAGTAGGCTCTTATGTAATTTAGCTTCACTGGGCAGTGCATTGGCAGTACCATCACCAAGTTGTCTTATGCCATGTGCACCCGCAAAAAGCCCAAGCGTAGGGGCGCCTGATGGCACACTGGCACATGCAAGCAGCAAGCCAGCTTACTCTGCACATGTAAGTTGACTCTGCATGAAGATGTTCATTCTGTTTAACTTGCTACCGGTGCCTTGGTGCTGGCCGGATTCCAACATGTCGCTTCATCACCCCAAAAATATTTGTTGGTGCTGGTCTGTGGCCGTTTCAACAACGGCGACTCTCTTAGCCCTGTCCTCCTTGAAGAAGTCGTAGAATTCGGCTTTGGCATCGCCTCTTGATTGCCTCGATGGTGCTCAAAACGAAGAATCCTTGTTTTGAGATTGAGATAAAGCTACCTGCAGCTTCATTTGGATTATGCATGTGTGGCAGGGCTCGTGTTTCATTTAGATGCTTCAAGAAAGGAACCCAAAACAGCTTGATGTCAAAATATTCAGAATCCATCTCCCATCTCCAAATGCAAAGGCTGCATTGCTACACTGCAGTCACCCAGGCCGGCAATCCGTGCACGGTTGCCGTTCGTAAGTTTGGGAGTCTGGCACAAAGAGTGACATGCCAACCACCCGGACAAACCTGGGGCTGACGCGCAACGCCGACTGGAGATATCATAAAGTGTGACGCGATGCAACACATGAGAACTGCCTTGGACCAGTGGATTGCGAACATCTGAGCAATCTTGGGTGAATGATCAGGTGCTTGAGTTGTACATACCCCCTGTTGATGGAACAAATCCTACACTGTCCTACACCACGTGGAACCCTCAAAATATCACATTATATATATTATATATATATAACTACTAAATACTGAGATTTGTCCCTGTCCCAGGTGATGCAGGGTTTCTTCGATCAACGAGAATACAGTAATTCCACTGCAGAGTAGGTCACCCCCTTTCTGAGACCAAACTGAATTGAACTGAAATAGAATGCAGTCAACCGAGAAGCGTAAAAGCACACAACCCACAAATGAAGGCTGTCTATAGTGAAGCCTTTGTTCTTTGCAACGCCCACGGTCCGCTCGGGGCCCGCTTGACCGGCTGGGGGCCCGGCTTATCTGGATATCCCAAAGGTGACAGCATGAACTCCTTCGGAATGGACCTCACTCAAAACAAACCACAAAAAGCAGTGTCCAGTGCTGCCAAAGCAATCCCCAATCTTTGTGGATGAAGCCAACACTATCGACATCGATCCGTCTCATCTAAGCTCTCCCGGCATCCGTGGCTTGATCATTGTAGTGTCAAGACGAAAGCCTTTGGCCTGGTGAGTCTGGAGAATTGATTGGATGGAGGGCCTTCATCTGTGGCCTCCGCATCAATGTCGTGCCGGCAGATCTACTGGAGTTACTTAGTTGTATGACGAGTCCTTCCCTTCTGTCGTGGCTTGCGACTTGCTTCCCTTCAAGTCGAGAGGTCACAGAAAAAATGTACGAAAAGGACCTTGGAACATCTTGGAATCTTTGGCAAACTGGGGAATGTCTAAACCCGTGGGTTCCTCGCTTCACAAAAAAGATGTCCGTCCTTTAAAGGAACCCGACCTTCCGCTCCAGCGCCACGAGCATGTTGTCATACTGGGACCGTTTGAACCTAGCTGAGGTGGATTCCGCTGTCCGCGAACAAACTTGGCTAGTCCGCCAAGGCTGATCACCTTTGAGATCTACTGACCAGAAAGCTACTTCACCTCTCCCAAAGTATGCACAACCAAAATCGCTGGCAACTCCAAGCACTTTACCATCAAGTTGTGAGTTGTTGTGGCTGCATGGCCTATGGATGGATACAACTAACCATTGCACTCACAAAAAAAGAATCTTTTGGACGATTCTTCCTTCACAAGAATCTCCAAACCAAGAGCGAGGCGGATTGCTCAGCGTCTCGTACGCGTCGTTTATCTCACGGATCTTCTCCTCAGCTGCCTCCCAAAGACGCTTCAGGCACGTTGCACGCGTCGCCGTTGACGGAAAGTGTCGAAAACTCTATTTGAGACCAATGAGAATGGCGTTGCTACACACAATTGACCACTCGAACAAGCCTCTCACTGAAGATGATTCAAACTGAAGAGAGTTACTTCGCTGCTCATGGACTAGCATGCAGTTGTTCGACCTGTGAAGTCTTGGCCTACCCGTTACCAGCCTTGGAGAATGCCCTCTTTCCCCTCCTTGCCACGCCTCCCTGTTTTGGGGATGCTTGTCTGGATGCCATTGAAGCACCAACTTCCTCCGCTCCGAGCCCATCGTCAGCTTGAAGGGGTAAGCAGAGTATGCAATGGTGCGATCTCAACCCCCAATCAAGGGGATTCTCACTCACAACTTCAAATAACACATAGCTGTGTCATGTCAAACATGGAAAGTATTGCCAAACATCTCCTGAAGGCTTCAGCATATCCGCCGAACCCGGCTCAAGCAAGGGGGAACGCGTAAGGGAATACAGGTATTGTAGTCTAGCAGAAGAAAAGTCTGACGCGTTGAGATAAACACTCGGAATGCCAACCTTGCGCTCGGAATGCGAACCGTGTGCTTTTTTGAGCAGAAGGCACATGGAAGATCACACGTAGATCGCGCGGCATAGTTCAAGCTGTGGCGGGAGCAGCCTTTTTCGGAGCTTTCGGAGCCTTTTGGAGTGGTCTTTGGCAACTATATAGACACTCGGAATGCGAACCGTGTGCTTGCCGGCGCCCAGCTGTCAGGCGTAAGCCTTTAAATATCAACCCTTGGTCTCTTCTTGAACACAGAAGATCCAGTACGGCCACCACCACAATCAGAAGAAAGTCCACAAAAAGACTTGTAACCTATAGTCGCAACCAGCATCAAGAGGATGCCTTCATGTTTCAATTCTTTGTTCCAGACTCTACAGACTCTAGACTGAACATGCTACGCGCGAGAGCTGTCCTATAGACCTTCTTAATCGCATCTTGATCCACTTCGCGCTCCACCTTGGATGGAGAAATGGGCGAGGTGAGCTGCAACTCCTAATTGCAGATGCTCAGCTGTTGCAATTTTCTCAGTGGGGCATCATCTTTTTTGGACCCTATTTAGAAACTATGTCCAACCTTGATTTGTGACAACCGCCAGTTGGACTGGAGCGAGATGTGAGGCGAGTGAAGCCAAAGATTCAACAAAAAAGTATATAACCTCTCTAGACAGGCCATCTGTAAACACAAACCAATCAAAAAAGAGTCAACAAACTTCCTCAGGTCATCTGGAGTCCGCTCTGTCCGCTCTGTCCACTCTGTCCACTGGGCACAGTGGTTGCTGAGCCTCGGACACCAAAGAGCCCATAGTAGTCAGGCAGTCCCGTAGCTGCAGCTGCCATCACGTCATGATGCGCACAACAGGCGTTGTGAGTGTTCAAATGGTGAGTCAAAGTTGGTGGGGCTTGATAGAAGACTTGGGCTCAAGTGCGGCCATCGACGAAGTACCACAGTCAAATACAATACGGCTCGATCATTATCACAGAAGCTTTCAGAGTCGAGGTGCTTGGACATGTCGTATCGCCCCTTGAGCCCCTTGAGATGCTCGTAAAGCTGCTTGGCTTGTGAAAGGTAAGGGTGGAGTCGGTGGAGTGGTGGCTTTGAGAGGTGCGGTGGTGCGGCTAAGAGTCCCCTCCAAACCAGACTCTGGCTTGAGCCCAACTGTCCGCTGTTTGTCATCCGACTTCAGGTCACCAAAAACTCGACTTCGATCATGTCTGACACCCAACAAGTACCTCGACTTCAAAACTGGTGAGGCAAAAGCCAGGAAAAGCTCCCGACACAACAAACACTCCAAGTGATCATGAGATGTCATAAGCAGTGTACAGACATGATAGGGGCTTTGAAAAGAAAAAACAATGCAAACCTTGACAAACTCAAGAGCAGTCAGTGACTTGTTTCTTCCACCTCCTTCAGGCGTCGGTCAAGTTCTTGGAGCCAATCCCCATCACACGGATGCTGCGGATGGCACCTTGGAAAAAGCATTCTTGCTGTAGGCCGCAACCATGCGTCTCGGAATCTAGGATTCAAAGCTTTGTGACCAAGGTAACAACCAACCTACAACATAAGGATGATGTCGACCGCACTTCAAACAACACCTCACTCTTATGTATGTGTCCAGCAAACTCATCTTAAGAACTTCTCCTGCCGAAAACAGCTCTGCTCTCTCTCTCTCTCTCTTTCTCTCTCTGTTGCCCTTCTTTTTCTTATTTCGAGCCTCTGCACTGAGAGCATCAAACTTTTAACTGCAACACCTTCGAAAATACATGGCCAAAGAACTAGGCTCAAAACCTTGAGATGGCTCTACCCCGCACCCGTCTGAACATGTTGAAACTCTGTCTGTACAGTATATTCCCAATTTGAACAAAATGCAACATACCGCCATGAGGAGAAACGGTCAGAACATGTGCAGAGCCTTGCGCTCTATGCGTGCATGCTCCACCCTCCCAGAGCCTGTCAATCTCAACCAACTGCATTTGCAGCAGGATGTAGCAAGGGGCCCTGGCAGCAGCATTCAAAAGGAGCTTCTTGCGCTGACAGGTGAACTTGGTGTTGATTCATTGGCCAAACATTTTTCAATCATTGATCTCTAAATACACAGGCTGGCTGTTTGTTGCAAGCACGAAGGATGCATTTCATTGCTTGGAACAACAACAGTGTCGAAGAATCACATATATAATAACAATAATAATAATAGTAATAATAACAATAATAATAATAGTAATAGTAATAATACTGGACTGTAGTAACAAAAACGTCAACAACCTCTAAAAATACAAACTCCAATTTCTACTCATTGTATGAATCAGCCGCGCCGTATCCGCCATCGCAGGCCATCCCCTTCCTTTAAAGTGATAAACAGTATATACACCCGTGCTTTTGCCAGTGTTTACTGCTTTGCTTTGCCCGCCCCTCCTGTACTCCTTGTGTAGGTGCACATGGTGACAACACAGTGTTGTGTGTGAACACTATTGTAAACCTTCACGAAAAAAACGCACCACATGCAAACATTCTAAGCAAGTCTCCAAGAAAAGCTTTCTTAGAACGACTTGCTAAACGCCTGCGGGAACGACCTGCGAGGTCGTCCATAAAGCTCTGCAGATTGGGATCCTCGCAACGAGGGTCAAACCTCACAGGTCCCCTCACATGGCGATGATGTTCAAACTACGAGCGAGTAGCTCCAAAGAAAAAGGATAAGGAGGACGGTGCGCCCCACACTCATCTGCAACTCAACTGTGTCCTTGGTTCTTCCAATGAATTCATGAGATTCCTGCCGCCCAATTTCTGGCTGAACCCTGCAAGATTCGCCGATCATGGCGTTCTAACCCCTGTTGCACAAATGTGTTTCATTGAAAACAGGCCAGTTTAAGAACGAGTCTGCGACAGTACCCACTAGTCTGACCAATGAAGTTCAATCCTGGAGTGCAGTTCTGCTAAAATCTCAACACGCATCACACAGGGCCTGATCTTGTCCCAAAATCCCATGCTAGAAAATAAAGAATTCAGTTGACAAGTAAACAGGATGAAGCCAAAGCAAGAAAGCACACTACTCCTGGTGGTGTTCATGATCCGCAGGCAACAACTCAAGGAATTGGTATGAGCCTCGGCAGGACTGGAGTTCCCTCCTTGAAGTGTGAATTGGAATTCCTACAACCTCCCTAGATTTTATGCCAGCTCCAAGTCCAACAACCATGCCAGCCATGACTCTCGTGCGACCAAAACGACTGCCTGACTGACCAAGATGTGTTTCTATGATTAATGATGCATTGCCTTCTGCAACAACTGAATCTCATTGGGGGGTCTGAGGGTCCGGCCCAAAAACTGTTGCATCACCTCTCCTGGCGATGCAACAGGGTGACACAAGAAATTCTGAAAATCAGGGATCCGACAAGAAGTCTAAAGCTTGGAAAACATGGCAATGCAAACAATGCCGAAAAGGACATTCTCGGTTCATTCAACGTCAAGGAAATCAGTTCCTCGCAGAAAAATACTCCTGCGCTTGGATTGCACAGCTTGGATTGTATCACCAACCCCATCCTTGCCTGCTAAATAAAGCATCCAATGTTGTTTCATCTGTACAACCAATCAGCAAATTACTGAGGGGAGAGCCACAACGCTTTGACGGGGCCAGGGAACAAAGATGAACAAAGTTTGCTGCGGCCAGGGGCTCTTTCCAAAGTTGTTGCAGTTGCCCTTCTAGCAATCAAGGGGTGAGGGTGTTCGTCTCAATGTTTTAAAGAAGGTGGCGATGGCTTTCATCCATGTGCGGAAGAGGTGCAAAACATTGAGGTCTCAAAGGCAAAGGGCAAGGAAGGGAGCGACCAAGGATGGCACAAAAAGCTGTGAGGTGTGGCTGAGAAGCAAGAAGGATAAGGCAGTTAATCCAAGTATATATATATATAGATGTTGGAAGACGTGACAAGCAAAAAACTTTCAAGACGAACGGATAACGTACGCCAGTACAGATGAGATAACAAGCAGAATCGCTTTCAAGCAGCAACGATTGTCCGTCGAGGTTTACAGCAAAACAAAAGGATTGTTTTCACAACCCTTTTCACAAATGCAGTAGTTCTTCAGGATGCCTTCCTATATTGC